CATCATTGTGACACACCATGTAATATACTGCTCTACAAATATTATGATTCCCTCAGAAGTTAATGATTATAGGACTGTATGTCTCTATGTAACACCCTTAAAACACTATTCTTCCGTAGTTCCATCTACTTTTAAACAGCTCTTCTTCCTTTTCGCTTGAAATAAGATGACACCTCAGCTGTCAGTGTGCCTAACTCCAATGGCCAACCCTGTGGATTATAATCTGTAGCTAAAAAAATCAGATAACTAACTCTACTGGTGCTGCAAAACCTAAAGTTTATACTGCAATTAATAGTTTCTGAATAAAGACCATAGGCTTAGGGCCGGACGCATGGCCGAGTGGTTAAGTTTGCACGCTCTGCTGCGGTGGCCCAGGGTTTCACCGGTTCGGATCCCAGGCGCAGACATGGTACTGCTAGTCAAGCCATACTGAGGCAGCGTCCCACATGCCACAACTAGAAGGACCCACAACTGAAAATGTACAACTATGTACCAGGGGGCTTTGGAAGAAAAAGGGAAAAAAAAAAAAAAAGACTACAAGCTTATACTTGGTTAGTTATTTGGAAGGCTAAAGATCTCTGCTGTTTGAAATGGCTGAGATCGTTAGCACTCAAAAAACATTCGATGAATTACTGACTGTAACATTAATATACTGGAGTTCCCCCAAAATAATAATAACCAAATAGTTTGAAAGTCTCCTCAGGAAAAGTTACTCAACTCACTTGTTTCTGACAAGACAAAAATTACCTAAATGTATGAGAAAGAACAGCTGAAAAGAAAAAAACAAAAAGAGGCAAGAAGGACAAGTTCAAATAAAATACCAAAGTCCATAATTCCATGGTTTTAGAAGACTCAGGACTTTGGGAAATATTTACTGATATTGTTTTTTAAAGTATAATTACAGTGCTTATCAGAGTATTAACTACAGAAACTTGCACCAAAGTGTATATCACATCCATATTCAATATTACTTTAAAAATCAAAATGTCTCCCAGCAAATATTCCTTGTAGTTAAATCCAGACTGAATTTTCATGTGAAATTAGACAGATTTTTTTGAAAGCACCTGTAACATACCTTCACTGATATTTCTGGTCATGTAACTTACTGTAATCTCTCTTGGACATTGGTTCAAGATGATGTAAAAAATAAAACATATTCTTGATATAATTAATATGTAACATAGGTATTACACTGTACCGTTTACAAAGTTACAGGTCTATGGAAATCAGCATTGTATCAGATCTTAATGAAAAAACCCAAGTGAGAACAAATATTATATTATCATATCACTGTTAACAAATTCCTCTTATCACTGAAGCTCATTAGCTCTCATAGATCACTTCTATGACAGTAATAAATAAGAAGAAGGAAAATAACTTCTTGGTTATTTACATTTTACTCACGCAAGCTCAAATCATGTAAGATACATTTCATTAGATTTTCTGAGTAAATTTCTACCCAGTACCTCAGGTAATTCAGTGTCTGTAAAAGACTGGCGATTCCCATGATCTGCTACCAAAAACGGTTTATATAACAAACTTGTGGGCCAGCCCCATGGCCTGCTGGTTAGGTTCAGTGTGCTCCACTTCAGCAGCCTGGGGTAGGTTCCCAGGTTCCTCAGCAGCGGCCATGCTGTGCCAGCGACCCACATAACACAAAAGAGGAAGACTGGTACAGATGTTAGCTCAGGGCAAATCTTCCTCAGGAAAAAAACAAAAATTGTAAGAATAAGAAACATGTATTGCTGCAAGGATCAGATGTGAACGTGAACTACCAAAAGCCCAATTACCAAGCAAAACTGTGTAGATACCTTTGCACAGACCATTATAGAACTGTTACCTTTGAATCCATTGTCATTTTCACAATTTCCTACTTCTAAAAATAATAAAATGTAAACAACAAATGTTACTTAACAAGAGAGCTTTACCTAAGAATTCACAAAGTTTCAATTAAATATCAACTTCAGTAGCCAACTTTTTATGATAGGTGCTATCAAGAAATTTGGGGTTGGACTGAAAATTGTCTAAAAAATTTATTTAAGAGGAAAAAAATGCCTCCAATACTGATTCTCGATTCTGGTCAAGCATCAGGTGCCTGCCTATTCTTGGACCACAGCTCCGTCAACCTTCAGCCATCTTCTCTTTTCTACACACTTTCTCCAACTCCATTTCAACATTAACCTATTACACCCCCATGTCTCCTTTTTCCTCTTTCTCATATCGCACCTCTCGACACTCACTTTTGTTCCCCAACATTCCTAGTTGAACTATTACAGTAGAAAACCACAATGCCCAAGAAGAGTGGACATTATTTTTTTTATGTGATAGGTCTGATAATATTGCTGGTAGGTGTGTGGGGAAAAAACACAAGAAACAATCACAAAATGCTGCTTAGCAATTTTTGAGTACAACATGTACATCTGCTTGCATTAATTAATGTATCTGCCACTCTCCAGTTAAACTCACTGAATTGCATGGTCAGAACTATTACTTTAATTGAGCTGTTAACTTTCAAAACTTCTGGAAAGGGGCTGGCCTGGTGTCATAGCAGTTAAGTTTGTGTGCTCCACTTTGGGGGCCCGGGGTTCACAGGTTCAGATCCTGGGCACGGACCTATACACTGCTCATCAAGCCACGCTGCGGCAGCATCCCACATAAAATAGAGGAAGATTGGTACAGAGGTTAGTTCAGTGACAACCTTCCTCAAGCAAAAAGAGGAAGACTGGCAACAGATGTTAGCTCAGGGCCAATCTTCCTCACCAAAACAAAAAAAAAAAGCTTCTGGAAAACTCCTATACACATACTTGGGTTACAGTTTAGAATACATAACTATTACAAAATATAAACATATGAATATAAGGGTAAATATATAACACAAATATTGAACATAAAACTAAAACAAGTGTCAAAACATTTCTTTAAATCCTATTTTACATGGACTTTATTTTTGTGCAAAGCTACCAGCATACTAAATCTCTAGCGCAAATGCTGCTACTACTCACAAAACTATACTACCAAAAAGTCTGTACAAACAGAAAGCAGCATACATATGAGTCAACACCATAGGCATATATCACTAAATAAAAATTTAACTGAGTAGAAAAAATTTTACTGATTGCTAATGCGACAGTCTAAAAACAACACCCCTCCACTTCCTCTTCTTCATTAAAAAAAAAAAAAAAAAAATGGAAAATATCTGGAGAAAAACACAGCTACCGCTAAGAGTGGGTAAAGAGATGTAAGACCGAGGAAGGCAACTGGGTAGACAGAGAGTAAGAGGGAGCATTTCACTCTTTACGCTTTTCTGTATTAACTGTAGAGGCAAACAACACTTTGGTAGTTTAAAAAAGAAAACAAATTATGAATGGATTACCTACTTATCTGATTAGTTTTGTAATTAACGCCCCACTACGAAGACTAAATAAATCCAAGGACTGCTCAAGAATATGAAAAAAGTATACTGTAAGCTAATTTTGGATAAGATATTGGAGATCTGGAGAAAAACTAATTTCATGTCAAACTCATTTCAGGAAAAACTGAACTCAAACTTTGATACCAAAGTTGATGAAGAGAAGTTTGCTTTTAATTAAAAATTTGACTTAAAACATTCCACTCTTACCTTAAATATGTAACCTAAAACAACCATCCCTGAACATCAAAGATGGCAACCTCCTAACACAGGAGTAATCAAAATTTTATCGATAAGTATGAGTTAGTAGAAAAAGTATGAGTAGTACAAAAAGATTAAAAGCACGATTTTATCCTGACATCAGGTACTGTCACAGATAGAAGCGATCCCTCCAAATACTGCCAAAAGTTACTGTAAATACAAAGTACGTTAGAGTGATGAGGAAGTTATCAATGAACAAATAAACGGGAGCACACGATGCCCCGAGGAGAAGCGGAGGGCGCCCTGCTTGGAGCGTCTGAGAACCGCCAGCGGAGAAAGGTACCGCTGCCGACACAGCGACAGAACAGTTAACAGGTCTGGAATTCTTTAGAAAATGGCAACAGGGGGGAAAACTGACAAGAACGTTTGTTAGTGAGAGGAACGGTATCCAGCGGGACGGTCGCGTGCGCGCCAGCCGGCTCGGGACTCCCAGCGAGCGGGCCGGGGTGGAACTATCCCCGCGCGGGGGAGCGGGAGCCCTGGCGGAGGCTTCTGCAGGTGGCCGAGCGCCCGCAGGGGGGTGGGGAGGAGGACCGTGCCGCCTCAATGGGGTCAACGTATCCCTTCAAGACTAGACGAAGCTGACACAGCACGTCTCCCGGCACCAAGAGGCACTCGCCCCCGGCCCCTCCCTAACAACTTGCCTGGTAGAAAGAGTTGCGGGTCCCAGGCCCCCGGAACCCAAGGCTCCGCCATCCAGGACAACCGCTCTGCCAACAAGGTCCCGCGAGAATCGAGCGCTCTCGCGATACAAACCCTCTAGCATCTCGCGAGTTTCGTCTCGAACCAACATGGCGGTGCAGAGAAATCAGTATTTCGGAACTTAAAAAGTGCTTCATTAACGGACTGGAGAACGTGTATAACAGAGAAAGAGCAGCAAGTCTTTTCCCCCTAATATTTCTCATCCGACTTCCCCTACTCGAGGAGAAAAGCGGCAAAGAACCCTAAAACCTCCGCCGACCACTGTTATCCTACACAGACACAGCATCCCCCTTCCTCGGCCCGCCTCCCTGCCTGTCACGTGGAAGCAGATGCTCGGCGTGCTCGTCACGTGGGCCACTACTGAGCGGGCGCGCGCCCGTCGCCCTCCCAACAGCCCTCCCCGCCCCCCTTCCGCCCGCGCACACGTGCGCGCGCACCCCCGCCCCACGTGGGGACTTTGCCGTCGCCGCCGTTGCCGCCGCCTCCAACCTACCCCCTCCCAGTCCTCGGCTCCAAAGCCGAGTCCCAGAGCCGATCGGCCCCCACGTTCCCTCCTCTTCCATTCTCCCTCCCCCGCGTCGGGGCCCCACCACGTGCCGCGAGCGCCCGCTCACCTTTCTCGCGGGGCCGGCCGCTGCGGGCCACTCGGGGACAGGCCGTCGCCGTGGCCGCTCTCCGCCCCCGCCACGGCACTTGCTGCGGTGGCCGCCGCCGCAGGAAGCTCGACAGCGGCGCCGCGGCGCTTCCAGGTGGGTCCCCGCCTCCCGCTCCTGCCACTTCCCGCAGCACCAGCGGCTCCTTCCGGTCCCCTCCTTTCTCCTCCTCGCTGGGCCCGGCGGGCGGCGGCGGTGGCGGCGGCTGCAGGCGCGCTCACTGCACCGCCTGCTGGTAACTGCGGCGCGTGCAGCGCCGGCGGCCGGGGGACCCCCGCCGGCCGGCCCCGGGCTCCGCCTCCGGCCCTGGGCGAGCGTGGGTCTTCGGAGGGCAGGACCCAGTCCATCCCCTGCGGTAGTCTACCTTGGCCCTACCCATGGAGGAAAGGCGTCCTTGCAGCTCCGTTGTTGGAAATGCGCTTCATCGTGCCCTTTGTGGTCTCTTGAGCGATTTCTACACCCTAGCTCCCTTAGCAGTGTGGTCTCAGGCTAGGAAAATATCGGTATGTGTAAGTTATATATGCTCCTGCCCACCTCATCTCCAATCGTACGGCCCCCTCTGGCCTGCTGACTGTTCCTACAACACGCACGCTCAATCCACTTCAGGACTTGGCGCTTGCTGTTCCTTCTAGCTGGAACACTTCTTCCAGATTTCTTTTAACTCATCCGTGTTCTTTGCGTATTTCAGGTCCCTTCTCAAAGGTCGGTATCTTGGCAGACCTCTCTATCCAAAAGAACACACTTGCACCACCGCTCTTACCCTCTACCTGCTTATATTTCTTCGTGACAGTTATCATCACTTCCAGATTTTACTTGTCTGTCCCCTGCCACCAAGAATCAAGAATGTGAGATCCTTAAAGGCAGGGGCTTTGTAACCTTTGCTCATTGCGGTAGCCCCAGACCTGTGTCTGGCACAAGGCAGTGTTTAATAAATACTCTCTTAAAACATATCAATGAACTAGATTGAGTATGTGGGAAAATAAAGCCCAACACACACTGATGGAGGTAAGTACTTCCTTTGGGTTGATAGTTCCGTTCACAACCTCACCATATGAGCTGTGGAAACAGGGAGCTAAATCGCCTTCCCTGTCTATAATTTGAAGATTCTCTTCCAAAAATATAAAATCCAGTCGTAGTAGCCATTTTAACTGGAGCTCTTCTGCGGTTGTCAAATACTGCTTCATTGTTTTTGCTTTCCTTGTCTTTGGAACTTTTTTTCAGGCAAATGGATATATGTGCCTCCTTTAATTTTGCTAATAAAAGTTATTAAATGGCTGAAATGGCTTTTTGTATTTGTTTTAGTCGAGAGTTCAACTCAAAATAACATCTGCTTCAGAGAAAGGGTGACAGGTATATTTATATATTAACACATCAACAAGCCTTTATTGAACCTCATTGATTCCAGGCCCTCCACTAGGATTAGAGATGCAAAAATAAAACAGTGTTTCCCTACCTTGCTCTATATGCTTATAGAGCCAAGTTTTATTTATAATAACCATAAAGACAGACAGCCATCAGCTGTCAACTCCCTTCCAGCATTGCCCAATGTCACACCCCTTTCCCAAGGAGGCCACATCCAATGACTGATGAATGCAGGGCTGTTAATAGTATCTAAGGATTGTTGGAAGGCCCCGCCCTCTCACCTCAACTTGGGACAATTCTGATTGGTCATCCCATCTCCAGAACAACCTGCCTCAGCTGAGGCCCCCCAGTAAGACTGCATCACAGCCCGACTTCTCCCTCTGCCCAGTTCTTCTTCCATTCCCTCTCACAAGTGATGACCCCAAGAGCATTCCCTAATAAATCTGCACACTAGTCATGTAAGAGTCTGCTTTCTGGGGGACACAACCTGTTACACTCTTCACATTTTTCTGATGAGAACATAGGCTTAGAGCGTTCAGTAAGTTGCCCAAGTTTGAACTGTAGGAAGTTCTATATAGAGATATAATAAAATATTGGGAACAGAGGAGGGTTTGAGAAAAGCTTTTTACAAGGGTTTGCATTTGAGTTACAGCATGACTTTCCAAAGTGGAAAAAAAAGACCATTCTCGGCTGAGGGAACTGCATTAATGAGAGTGTCTGGGAACATGAGAGGGGAACTACAAGAAGCCCCTAGTGGCTGGACTCTAGGGTCTTTGGAGCAAGCACTAAAGTGGTGAGGAGAAAGGACCAGTTCAGTGATGGTAAGAAGGTAGCCGAGGAGAGAAAACTCTAGGTCTGGGAGTAGATCCTAGCTGAGTGGAAAGGAATAAGAGCCCCTCAGATCTTCAGTTATCTAAGAAAGGGAAAGAGGAGCTTCCTTGCTTTTGGAAAAAGGAACCACTGCCAATCTCACTGACAAAGGCCACTCCCTAATTAGGATATGTTCATATATGGCCTTTGTTATTTTCACCTAGGATCACAGAATATTGAAGATGGAAGAGACTCCAAGATCATCTAATTCAGAGGTCGGTCAATATTTTCTGAAGCACTGACATTCCTTTTTACAAATGTGATCTTATGCCAGAATCCAATACTTGACTCAAAAGATGACCTGGGAATGGATTGGGCACCCACTGACACCACCCTCAGTCCCTTACCATGGCGAGGCACTGCCTCAGCACAGGGTCAGGAAACCATTGATGTAGTGCATTCATTCATTCTTGCAACAAATATGCCAGGAGCTGTCGAAGGTGCTGGAGATACAGTAGTGAACAAAACAGACAAAGACTCGACTCTTACAGAGCTTGTAGTCTAGAGAGGGAGATTGACATTCAAGAAATAATCACATAAATACTGTACGTAGTAAATTCAAACTACATACCACGAATGAAAAGTGCAAGGCACTGTGAGAATATGTCCATATGCCCAAAAGTACATATTCTAAGGTCTTTAAATAAAAGGAAAAGGGATGCCTTCCTGAGGAAGTCACATTCAGGCTGAGTGAGACTCAAAGTATGAATACGCATTTAGGAGTTAGTCAAGTAAAGGGTGGGAAAAACACTCCACACAGAGGGAAGAGTTGATGCAAAGGCCCCTACAAGGATGGAACTTAATACTACCTACTTATTTATTTACTACCACTATGATGACTTACTACTACCAGAAAGAAGCCACTACTTTTTCTATGGATATATATAAAATCTAATATGAAATAATGTACCTAATTTCTCTCTTTGGATCATAAGATATTTTCCATGTCATTAAATATTCTTTAAAAACTCCAAGAGATGGTTATATAATTTGACCATTTTTCTATTTGGGTGGTTCCACTTTCATATTAATAAATGATTGGATTGATGAAGGTCCTTGTGTCCAAATGTGTGCCCAGATATTTTGGGGCTGAATATCCAAGATTTGGGTAGCTGATTGAATTTGTAGATAAGTTAAAAGAGAGTTTGGGATTCCTGGCTTGGGTGACAGGGGAGATGGAGGTATCAGTGATGACCATAGGAAATACTAAAGTAGGAGCAGGGTTAGGGGGAAAATGATGTGTTTGGTTAGGGCATGCTGAATTTGAAGTTACTCATATATCCAAATGAAGCTGCCCAGGAGTCAGCTGAATCTATCTGTCTGGGATGCAGGCTCCAGGTCTGAGCTGCAGGGACAGATTTGTGAGTCTCTAACATACAAGTAGCAACTGGAACCTAGGGTTTAGATTAGCTTATCAAAGGAGAGCACAAAGAGTGAGAAGAGCTGAAACTGAAGAACAAAACCCTGAGAAAATCTGAAATTTTGAGGCAAGGAAAAAAAGGAGTGACAACTATGGAAGAGAAACAAGGAGTCAGAACAGTAAAAGAACTGGGATAGAAGGGTACCCCATGAGATAGAAGGGGACTCCCATGGGATAGAAGAGTATCCCACGGGATGGAAAGGTACCCCAAAAACCAGGGAAGAGGAAATTTCTTTTTCTTTTGAGGAAGATTGGCCCTGAGCTAACATCTGTGCCAATCTTCCTCTATTTTATGTGGGATGCTGCCACAGCATGGCTTGACAAGCAGAGCTAGGTCCATGCCCAGGATCTGAACCGGCAAACCCTGGGCCACCAAAGCGGAGCACACAGACTTAACCACTAGACCACCTAGCTGGTCCCAGAAGAGGAAATTTTAAAGATGGAGTCATCAACATTAACTTGTTAGACAAATTCTCTAGACATCTATTTTGTGCCACACACTGTGTTAAGCACTGGGAGCGAACAAGACAAATCCTTTTGGTGCTTAGTGCCTAGTGGGGAAGACAGTGTTGTAAACTACTTAAAAGGCCAATATATTTGGCAGGTTTAAAAGAATTATGCCTTGCTTATTTCTAAAAACACCTATGTGGCTTACAAAACATTAATAGGTAAAATAGAATTTAAAACAACTAAAATGGGAAAATTCAGGCAAAAGGAAGATAGAAGCAAGAAAAATAAGACACAAAAATACATGTTCTAAGGTCCCGAACACTTGCTTTAAGCTTTGGGCAGGTGTTGTAACAAGGGAAAACAAGATCAGGTATGACAGTCTCAGCATCCATGGGATAACAAAACAGCTGCTCAGAGCAGGCGTTGCTATTCCCAGGACTGAGATCAAAGATAAATTTCCCCCACGGTTTCTCAAAACAAGATCATGTGTTGTATGAACAGTGTCCTCAACCGCATCCTTATAGTAAATCCAACAATTAATTCTATGGGACTCTTTCTTTATTACAACATCTCTCAATCTAGGCTGAAGGCAATTCTGTAGGCTTGGAAGAGGTGAACAGCATAGCCCAGGCAAGAAACTCCTATAGTCTGGTTTAGTACAGGAAAGATTTAGAAATATTTGAAAGAATGAGTGGATTATACATTCTTCAGATGATCCTTCATTCCTTTAGTTAATACAGTCCATAGATACTAGTCTCCTGGATCTCAGCTGACCCCAAGAACACAAAGTTAGTACTGGTTTCAACGTTTACCACATCACAGATCCAGAACCACTTTTCTTTCTTTTCCCAAAATTCATTTACAGGGTGAAGAAGATTTTGAAAAAGTCCCTCAAAAGAAATGCTAGAATTAGAAAAATTACCGTTTTGTAATCTGTAATGAAATAATTGATTCAGGCAACAACCATCAGTAGATAAAACTATTAGTTGAAAAGTTGACCAGTAACAGTACAATGGAAGGATTAAGCTCTCACCATCCGAACCCACTGACCAATCCTTGTATCACTAAAAGTGGGACAAGCAGGGGCCTGCCCGGTGGCTCAATGGTTTAGTGAACACGTTCCACTTCAGCGGCCTAGGGTTCGCCAGTTCGGATCCCGGGTGAGGACATGGCACCGCTTGGCAAGCCAGGCTGTGGCAGGCATCCCACATATAAAGTAAAGGAAGATAGCATGGATGTTAGCTCAGGGCCAGTCTTCCTCCGCAAAAAGAAGAGGATTGGCAGCAGATGTTAGCTCAGGGCTAATCTTCCTCAAAAAAAAAAAACAAAAACAAAAACAAAACGGGACAACCAAATATTCTGTGGCCCCTGCTGCCTCCTTCTCTTTGTTTAACCAGGCTGGTCAAATGTGGTAGACAGTTATGTTGGTATCTCTGGATGAACTATGACTCCTGGTATTCAAGACCTCATGTAGTTCCCTCCCAATAAAAGATGGCAGAAATGACATTGTGCCATTCCAGTCCTAACCCTTTAGAAGCCTGGAGTATTTTCTTTTACCCTTTTGGAACCCAGCTGCATGCAGTAAGGAAGATCAGGCTATACCCTTCCATAGAGAGAAGCTACATGCAGAGGCCCTGGAAGATGTAGAGAAAGGCCTTGATAGAAATAAATGTAGTGCCTCACCAAGACCCCAGTGATGTTAGAAGCCTTCTTGGACCGTCCAGCACAGCCTATCTGCCAGCTCAATGCAGCCCTGTGAGTGACTCCAGACAGCACCACATGGAGCAGAAGAACCAACCAAACAACCTACAGAATTGTGAAAAATAATAAAACCTTATTTTAAGCCAGTAAGTTTTGAGGTGCTTTGTTATGCTACAAAAGATAGTCTTCAACCTGGGCAGCATCATGATTTACTGTTGGAGAACCACATCTACTTCTATATTCATGAACAGTCTCACACTTCAGTGTCCACTGGTCCTGAAGCAGAAGTTCACGTGGGTAAGAGAGAGAGAATTGAAGGAACTTAAACCCAAAGAGCTTGTGTTACAAATCTACACCTGAATAGTTGCTGTCATAAAAATTATGCCTCCATAATTTTGCTTAATGTACACACTTCAGACATGAATTATGGAAGTCATTATCTACTTAGCACTTAGAGTCATTGAGGGGGATGGACTG